GCAGGCGCCGACGGTCGACCGAACGGAGGAAACTTTTTCAATCTGCCGTCATTATGTGCGAGTCTAGTTCGCGTTGGTTTCACCTCCGGTTAACTATATAATACTCTCCTCAGCCGTGCGCGGCCTCTTGCCCACGATGCTCGAACTAATTTCCAAGGAGACGGGCGCGATGGACTTGCGAGGAGCTGCGAGGAGTAGCCGCGAGCTATATTATAGGGAGCCGCGCGGCCGTTCTTCACGGAACCACCTTCCACATCGGAGCCGGAAGCGAAAAATAATTCATTAAAATGTACGACTTCCGAAGACACTTTATTCGCTCTTTAGCGTGACTGGGAACCACCCATAATCCCACGAATATCGTCGCATGGCGTTTCGTGGTCGATAGACTAACGCGCGGGATTTATACAGCATAAGCCCGCAATCGGAATATATATACCTACGCTGTGGCTTATCGCAAGACGTAATCATTGTGAGAAAAATTATGCGATCTCGATTATGTAGACAGCTCTGAATGAAGTCCTTAGGCAAATCGGGGAATTAATAAATTTGATACGGATAAGTTCCTCGAAACTTCTATAGAGTCTTTAGACGCGTGTGTATAAAGGTTTAAATTTAAGAGAGCGATAAGCTTCCAAATTGGAACATTCCAAATTGAACATTTTTATAATTGTCGCAATAAAGGCAAATTAAGTCTCAAGATGATACATGATTACATGATTTTTTAAATAAAATACACAGTTCTCGTAAAATAATAAGGGTAATGAAGATTTTCGATAGTAACACGTGGATTCTCTCCCTCCCCCCCCTCTCTCTCTCTCTTTTCTCCCGTTCTCACAAAGAGTCTGCGGGTTTAATTATCGTGCAACGCGTACATTCGAAAATTAAACGTAATTCCAGTCGCGGGAAATATTAATCAATGGAACTCCTCGAAGATTCATCCGGCGGGGGACTTATTTCCCCTTCCGGTCGCTGCAAATGCATGCAAGAAAGAAAAAAAAGAAGAGGAGCGGCCAAAGGAGACCAAAAACAAATTACAGTAGTCCGTCTCCTTCCGCCGCACGCGAAATCCCGTAGCGTAATTTTCCCAGCAGCGAAGCTGCTCCCTCTCCCCCTTCCCCCCAAGCTTTTCCTCGTCTTTTCAGAGCGACGCTGACGAGACACTTTCCTTTCTATAGTGAAGAATCGTTCGTTAGTCGTAAACCGCTGTCGAAAGACTCCCGACGAAATACGTATTACGCGATGTGGCCACGGGACGGACTGTAAAATCTCGGGCGGAAAAGTTAACATCTCGTCTCTATGAAATTTTGCAAACTTCGTGAACCCGCCGTTCTTCTTTGAGCGAATTCCCACGATTGGAAATCCGACGCTTATTTCGTCGTACAATCACGAAGTTAAGCCGTATTCCACGGGCCCGCCGTTTAGCTCATCCCGCTGAATAACACGGAGATGCGTGAATACTTGCGAGATTGAATTAATTTGCGAAATTGAAAATGCGGGATAAGCCATCATTCCATTTCCATGCCAATGTGATACCGTTACAACCACGCTATTAATTCCCAGAACATTGTTCGGCAAGAAATAAATTTAACATATTCAAAAGAGTTAATTAAAATTTAAAGAAATGCAAAATATTGTAACAAAATCGACAATATTCACCGCAACATACTAATAATATATACGAGATATTAATGTTTAATTAGGTCAGACTATTCTGTAAAAAGGATTTATTATTAACTATTTTAGAACATTGTTCAGTAAAAAATTAATTGAATATATTCAAAGAAAATTAATTAAAATTTGAAAAAATACAAAATTGATAAAATATAATAAAATTGATAAAATTCAACATATAAATGCCCTAAAAATATTAGAGATATTAATATCGCCCTGCGCGTTCACTTGGCGCGAGACAGTATGTGTATACCGTGTCTCTTGATTTCATTAAATCAGACTATTCTAAAAACATTTAATGTTATTTGTTTGAGAGCATTGTTCAGCAAGAAATAAATTTAACATATTCCAAAGAAAATCAATTAAAATTTGGATAAATATAAAATTTTAATAAAAATCGAATTAAATACTAAAAATATTTAACTAATCATACGAAATATTAATGTTTAGATCAGGCAATTCTCTAAAAAGATTTAATCTTTCATTTCAAATATTAAACTTTCTCCAAGAAATAATATAGCACGTTATCGGGCTTTAGTCAGATCTGCGTAACAAATGGGCTTGAAATGTAATTACATTTCAAACCAGACGCTAATTAATATCGCCATACGAAATCATTGCTAACATTAATAAACTTGGCCTTTCAGTTTGACTGAATAACAACGTATATAATATTATCTGCGTTACGATACGGTGCGGATGAATATTATTTTACATGTTAATTTTCAACAAAAGGTTCGATAATTCAGTCGGATCTGCGATCATCTCTCGTCGTGCAACCTCCCCCCCCCCCTCCGTGTGTCGCTCCGACATATCGAACAACCAAAACATCCGGACGTTACGACCGTGCGGACGTACCGCGCTTTGCGGTGAATAAAGAGCAACGTATTTTCAATTGCCGCTGGCTTTTCGCGCGGCGATGGAAGGAGACGACGACGCGGCGCGGCGGGAAGGAACGGGCGCGGGACAGGAGAAGGAAAAGCCGCGGGAAAGCTGCGAACCGATGAAAATGACAATGCCTCGCGGGCACACGTCCGACGTTTTCCACCGCCTTCTCTCCCCCCCCCNCCCTC